GGCAGGGAGCCAGGGAGCGTTGGCACCACGTCACCGAAGGCTCGGGCTGGCCACTCCTGGCTGATTCCTGGGAGCACAAAGGCTGCTGAGCGGGTCCCGGCACCACCCGTAAGTAGCTCCTGTTACCCGTCTGCACGGGCCTGTCAGAGCCACGCACCAATTCCAACGTAGACCAGGGCCTGAATCCCGCGGCCCTGTCGGGCAGGGAGCCAGGGAGCGTTGGCACCACGTCACCGAAGGCTCGGGCTGGCCACTCCTGGCTGATTCCTGGGAGCACAAAGGCTGCTGAGCGGGTCCCGGCACCACCCGTAAGTAGCTCCTGTTACCCGTCTGCACGGGCCTGTCAGAGCCACGCACCAATTCCAACGTAGACCAGGGCCTGAATCCCGCGGCCCTGTCGGCGCATTTATCCCACACCCGGCCCAGGACCACGCGCCGCACTGGACCGTGTCCAGCGCTGCTACTCGCCGGCACGCACAGGGACGGAGAGAAAACCAGCCCAGCCAACGTGCGGGGGACACAGTCCCCGCCCACGCCGGCCCTGCAGAAAGCCACCCGGCCCAAACGGGTACGCTGCAGGCACTGATAGGGCAGCTCGCACCCTGAGGAGAGGGCGGGGTCCCCTTCAGCTAGAAGCCTGCTCCAAATGCAAGGTCACCGGAGTGCACCATTTGCTGGGCTCAAACAGCCTGGACTCCAGTGCTGCACCGAGCTCCAAGGCGCAGCTCCGTGGAGGGACACCGGCAACGCCCGCCTGGATTACCACGGGCCTGCTTAGTATTACTGGCCCGGCCAGGGCCAGAACGCAGCCTGGGCCCAGCGCGCTAGGCGCTGTACAAACACTGCCCCGAGAAGGTCCCCACCCCGCACTGCCGAAAGACACAGGGTGGGAAGGGCCCGAGGAAAAAAAAAAAAAAGTGATTTTTGCTCCAGACCAAGTCAGAGACGGGGTGAGGGACACGCAGGCTCAAGTCGCAGCCCACGGCTCTCTCCACCACCCCGCCCTCGCTCGTGGGGAATTCCCAGGCACAGCCCCGCTGCTTCTGGGCCTGGCTGTTTCCTGGCAGGACATTTCAGTGGGGGGAGAGAACGCGACCCCTGCTTCGGCTTTCCGGAATGGCTTGAGCACAGCGTCCGAGGCGGGGGAGTCCCCGCGGGCTGTCAG